TTTTATGAAAGTTAATAATAAAAGTCGTGCATTATGTTAGGGAAGTACAACATTTTAAGGTTTATTGAGAATCAAGGCTAACTTGTTGAACATTCCGCTCACGTTGACTCTTTTTTTTCAGTCAAGCAATAGTTCCTAAGTTACCGGAAGATGGCGAAAGTCCGAATTTTTTAAAATTAAAAGACAAATGACAAAGTATTATCATTATAGAGATTGTGAAACTAAGATCAAGCAAGATTTAAGTTATACGATTTGCTTGCGCGTATAAACGAAACACTTGGGTTCCTTTGTGAAAACTTGCCAAATATATAATATACTCTGTGCGTCCATTCAGCTCTTCTCTGGCTTGATTAAAACAGCTTTGCCTCCGAAAATTCTTTGCTTTCACAAAGTCGAGCTCGCGGATTGATATTCTACAGTCGAGGGCTTACGGATATTCCGAGGTAACTGCCTAATTCACGTATACGAGATTCATTTACGAAAATTACATATACAACAAGGCAACTTTATCGATAAGCGGATACACGCGCATGATATATTGAGCGAAATTCTGTATGCCGTTTAATGGATATATCATTCTCGTATAACATTGACAGATATATTTAGGTATTGGATGCAGAGAGTCTTTCATCTAGTTTGATCCTTGCTGAAACTTTAGACAATATTGTCGCCCTCGCCGAATTACTACGAAGCAGCAGCAGCGCGGGACATATATAATAATTCCGTTACGACTCCGTCGTCGTTGTGGTCGTTGTCGTCGCGACGGCACAACGGATGATGTATCGAAGATGAGAGCTATTGCGCACAGAGAATGCCGTTTGTTGGAAATCAATCGAGATTCGATACTAGAGAGCGCGCGAACAAGTGTCAGGAGAACGGCAATATGCACAACGAGCATATTTAGCATAGTTAGCAACATCGGTAATCCAGATACGGAAAATTGTTCGAAATCAATTATGACTTAAATTAACTTACATAAAAGAGTTGTGTTGCAACTCCGACCGTCCTAAAGACGCGCAGTTAATATAAGATATAATTACTAATATTACAAATATTTAAAATTACCATAAAGCAGGATTATTCGATCGATGAAGAAATCATCTTGTTATCTGATTAGTTCTAATGGCTAATGCACAAAATATAGTATAAGATGGTCAGCATAGATTTTATAAATTATGTGGAGAAAAAAGTAAAAAAAAAATTGATAGATACTTCTTCGGACCAATCAAATGAACTGAGTATGAAAAATTCATTAAATAGACTGCTTCTTTCCATGCAATTTCCCTTGCATTGTCTTTTATTGAATCTTACTGAAAAAAAATTTCGCTACTAGTCTAGAGAAAAGTGTCAAGAAGCCAAGATAATTTTCGAGCATGTCTAATAATTCGATCAATTACTCTGAATCAAATGTCGGAGAGCATCCATTTTACTTCAACATTATAAAGTCACATCGACCCGACAATATTATTACCTCAATGATGAGAACTATATGCATTAAGAGAATCGCTATTTGCTTATATAGTCGAGAGTCTTGAGATGCCGGTACATCGACTGTACAATTCGATACAAGCTTCGACGTTTAATAAGCAAGGTATCGGGTGGCGAGCTGTAAATGCAGCTGCGCTGTATATACCTATGCAATGTAATGCAATATTTCGAATTAACGGCTGCTCTATGCGGATGGATCGGCGCGATGAACTTTAATTATCCTCTCTCCTTCCCTCTCCCTCTCTCTCTTTGTCTTTACCTGTCTGGCTGCTAATGTATGTATATATATTGCTACCGCGTGCGTGTTCCGCTTGATTAGATCAGCAGCTGGACTGGGCGAATAATGACACCGGCGCGCGTGGTCGGCTCCGTTGTTGTTCGTTAATGGAGCCGCTACCGTTATATAGGTACGCCTATACCGCTCGTGGCGAGAGTAATCGTGCCGCATAAGCGGATCAGCAAAGTAGCGAATGAAAAAAAAGAGCCTCCAGGCCTCCACGTCCGCTCAGTGTGTGAGCCTGTGTACTTTCAATTAAACAGCTGTGGTAACAAGCCCCGGATCCAACTGGTCGCGTGCATATCTTCGTCACCGCATCTAATTAAAGGAGAAGAAATATATAAAGCGTTTTTCAAGTTGACACCGTGACAGTTTATCGCGACAAAACGGCCGACGAGCTTTAATCCATAAAAATGCATATTACGTATATTTATTATGCTATAGAACGCTGATACGATATATATGCATAGACGCGTCTGAGTGTAAGGCACGACTGAGGTGGGAGGCGGATCGAAGGGTATGGGGCGCGTTAGCCCATATAACAGCTCGAGTGGAAAAAATAGATCGCGCGCAAGCTCGCACGAGATAATCCAGACGAGCCGATATAATATATGGGCTAGTATCGCGTCAATCGTCGACCCCTAACAAAAATGCATCGCAAACTTAAGCGATGCACTTTTAAAGAGTACATTCAAAAATTATGGCTTTAAAATTATCAGCTCGTAAAGTTCATCTGTCTTGGATTCGAGTAGCCTCAAAACCATAATTTTAAAATTAAGAATTTATTAATTAGGTGATAACTATAGAGAGCGGAGCTTTCAATCGACCGAGCTTTCTTTTGGTTTTCTTTTCTTCGTCGGCGCTGCGCCCCGAACGTGATTGCGAATGTCAGATGTTCGCTACAGATCGTTAGATTGGGATAACAATTACGAGAGAAGTCTCGTTTGGTAGAGTTGATTTTAAGGATCATGTGTCTGTGCGGTGATGTGAAATCACGAATCCTATATATGTGGCAGCGACAGCTTCTGAGACTCAGTTTAGTCCTGGAGCCAAAGAGGGGTCGGATCGGCCACGTGAAGAAGATGGATGAAAACATGTTATTCTTATGTATTTTTTCCCGCTGAATCCGAATATCATAGTTAAAAGTCGCTCAGACTGCCCAAAAATTTGTTATAAACAAATATATTGCAAAAGGAAGAAAATAAAAATTTTTCTAAATTTTAAACACATATTTGTGTTCTTTGAGCAATTTTAAGCAAAAAGTGTTTCTTGTAAAATTTTCGTAAAATGATTATTTACCGAGATATTGAGACTCAAAGAGGAAAAAATGCACATTTTTGGCCATTTTCAAATACCCATAACTTTTGAAATAACAACGTTAGATCGATTTTAGACCCGTCATTTGAAAGATAAAAACTTAATCTTTAAGGTGATACTAATTTCAAACATGATTTATCATACTGGACATGTTTTTTTGCACTACAAACATCGGCGTTGCCACGTTCTGATGGCAATGCACATGTCAGTAGCACGCGTAACGCGTACGCGATTCCACGCTCTGACACGCCGATGTTTGTAGTGCAAAAAAACATGTCCAGTATGATAAATCATGTTTGAAATTAGTATCACCTTAAAGATTAAGTTTTTATCTTTTAAATGACGGGTCTAAAATCGATCTAACGTTGTTATTTCAAAAGTTATAGGTATTTGAAAATGGCCAAAAATGTGCATTTTTTCCTCTTTGAGTCTCAATATCTCGGTAAATAATCATTTTACGAAAATTTTACAAGAAACACTTTTTGCTTAAAATTGCTCAAAGAACACAAATATGTGTTTAAAGTTTAGAAAAATTTAAATTTTCTTCATTTTGCAATATATTTGTTTATAACAAATTTTTGGGCAGTCTGAGCGACTTTTAACTATGATATTCGGATTCAGCGGGAAAAAATACATAAGAATAACATGTTTTCATCCATCTTCTTCACGTGGCCGATCCGACCCCTCTTTGGCTCCAGGACTAGTTCTGAGTTCTGAGTCAGTAGGGGTGATCTCGTTCGTGCCTATGTGAGATATCTCACTCTATCTGTAAAAGTTGCTTTTGATCGCTGCCTTCTGTATATAGTAATAAATAAATTATCGAAAGATCAATCGATGAAAGAAGCAGGAGCAACAAACCCTTTGCTAGTCTCGTTGACAGTCAGAACAGTACGATCACTGATACTTTCGTTACACTGATCTTAACTTAACTTAAATATTTTCAGCCATAGTTTGTTTATGCTTGACGAGCTTTCGGCAAGCTCGCCACCTAGCGCTTAGTTCATAAACTACTTCTCGCGTACATCGAATGTTGTTGTCCCGGTATCGCCGATATCGTAACAAGATATATGAGCCAATTCCTCTTGAAGCCAAAATTCAGGCAGTTTTCCTTAGCGGAAGAAAGTACGACAGTACCAGTACTTTTATGTGAAAAAACGAGATCGGCAAAAAATAATAATAAATAATAAATAACGGAAAGCACGTATCGCAATACGTCACTCGTCAGCAGAGCTGTGCGAGTGTCTGTCTCTAGACGCAACAACGCGTCATATACTCAAACCCGCGCGTTACATTATCACGCGATAAACTCCTCATTTCTGTGGTGCAGCGAATACATCCAGTCAAGGGAGTCGCCGATCGCGCGGTATAACACTTTATACTACGTATCGCCGCGTCAGCCGTTCGATTCCTGCACTGCAAGCACACTCGCACATGAGATGTAATAATACGCATGTGCCGACTACGAAGTTCACGTTGGCATACACACGCACACACATACGTGTCAACTATAAATGCTATATACGAAGTAAACGCCACTGTACTGTGCTAGATGTAGCCCCAAGAGCTTTGCAAGCACGCGAGGCGCGTACCTAACTACATCATATACTGCTCATGTGTATGCACACATGCGCGGCGACGGCGGCGGCGGCGCCACAGGACGAGCCGAGCCGCAGACACGCGAGAAGTTCAACTGCTATATATATGCGTTATCGTCTCTTCTCCTTCTCATCCTCATCCTCCCCTCGGCGTATCCGTGTCACCCCCCGACTCTATATATACCTATGTATTATGTAGTATATATAATACACGTTGCCTCGCAGTCCAGTCGTCGCGCGCAGGGCAGGTCGCAGCCCGTGTCTCGGGTCGTATCGTCTGCTCCGACGCATAAATACATAGACTGCAGCAGTAGTAGGCAACAACAACTATCGTATACCCGCACAGTTTCGATCCATATTCCGATACACGCGTATACGAAGTATGTACGTCGTGCGAGGAATCTCATCGCAGCCATCAGTGTCGTGAACGCGACGTCGCGCTACGATTCGCGTTACATGGATAAGTCGAACTGTCATCGTCGTGGTCGACGTTGTGGAGTCCCGCCCGCTGCTGCTGCCACTGTTGCTCCTTGCAAGCTGCCGTCGACGCCGCCGCCGACGCCTAGCACAGATAGTAGTACATGATAGTGCAGTGTACACAACGTATCGGTCGAAAATGGGGCATCAGGCGGCTGAGCTCGTACCTACTACCCCGGAACGACGACGACGACGACGGCTGACCTGCTGCTGCTGCTGCAGCTTATCGTGTGCGTGCGTAGCATAATAGCTGACTCGCGGCCGTATTGTTAGCTATATAGCCCTTGTTACAAAGCGACATAATGGCATAATCTCTCCCTATCTCTCTGGCGTAGCGAAACTTTTCCACGATACAGATATGTATGTATAAAGCTCCGGGTTTCGCTCGGACGAGGCTCAGTTTCGACATCATGCCAACTCGCGCACGTGTGAAACTTTAATTGTTTTCGAGCAAAGTTACGAGCGAGTGATAATATTATACTGCCCACGCTTGGTGTTGCACCTGCATACACACTACTATAGTCGTTTGTATCTTGGGGGCCCCCCGGTTCGCGCGAACGATCTTCATTACGATACGTCGAAAAAGTACACTTATGACGCCAGTCAAAAAGTTCAAGTTCAAATGCCACCCAAGCGACAGCAACAGCAACAGAGAAATCGCAGTCGATTCAAGGTGATAACCTCATTATAATTTATTGTTATTTTCAGACTCGCTCGCTCGCTCTCGGGATATAATTAATCATTCTAAGGTCTATCGATTCTACGAGGTTCGCATAAGCGCATTCGAGTAACTGCACACACATGTGATTTCGGAGAGAGAGCTTGATTGACGGGCGAGGGCCGAGCTATATTGTATACCGCGCGATCGGCGGCGCGGACAATATTTTGTCTACTGCTCGCACCGCGCACGCGACACTGTGTATGTGAGAGCTTATTGACGCTCGATCTCCCGCTATAATTCGATTTTTTTCGTCAATTTCATGCGCCCAAATCGATCTGGCCCCGAGAACTCGCTGACTTATCTTCGGATCGACGCTCCGATGCGAACGTTCTTATTTTCATTTTGCGATTCAATCGTGCGAAATTATTCATTGTCTCGTTGCAGTGAGTCAGTAGTAGCGCGCGAGCTGTCAGCTGCTGCTCGACTGCCCCCGCATACAGTCGCACGTATAACCTTAAAAATAACATCGATGTTGCACTCCGCGGCCGCGACACACTGCGTTGTTGTTTGTGTACACAACACGAATGACTTATACATCCGTTCGACGATATGTCAATGTGCGCCGAAATTTGCTTTTCTTACCGTTTGAACGATCATCCGAGAGCCGATGATAATTACTGGCACGATGTGGAGTTGATTTTTGAAAATTATGCGTGAACTTTTTTTTCAATTTGACGTCGATGAATGAAATATAATTCTGCTGAAGTTTTGTCAGGTTTATTATTGTTGACTTTTTTTTATTGAAATCCCTATTTCAGTGAATTGCTAGTTGATTCTTAATGGATACATTCAATTCTATTTAAAAATTGTTTTGTTTTTTAGAATTTTTGAAAACAATATGCAATTAATATTTTTAATACTGATGTTTATTTTATCTTAATATGCTATAATGTTTCATTTTAAATTAAAATATTATTATTTGTTTGTTCAAGGTGATAACTCCTTTGCGATCACTGGTTCTCTGTGGTGAAAGCGATCAAGAAATGGAAGAGTGGCTAAAAAATGTGACGGAAAGTAGGCCAGCAGTGGACACTGGAACTGCAGAGATACTCAGTGGTCATCATCAGTGGTACGCAACTAGTCATGCTCGACCAACTTATTGCAATGTTTGCAGAGATGCTCTTTATGGTAAAAATGTGATTTATAGTTTAGTTGCACGATGAGTAACACAATAACAATAGAAAATATTTTTTCAGGAGTCACTTCTCATGGACTAAGCTGTGAAATTTGTAAATATAAAGTACACAAAAGGTGTAGCCCAAAAGCAATAAACAATTGCAAATGGACCACATTAGCTTCTATTGGAAAAGATATCATTGAAAATCATGATGGAGTGAGTGATTTTAAGGACAATTTGTTTTAAAATAATTCACAGAAGTAACTTATTCAATAAATCTTATTAATTGCAGACCCTTACCATGCCACATCAGTGGATGGAAGGGAATCTACCAGTAGCTGCTAAATGTGCAATATGTGACAAGACTTGTGGTTCTGTGTTAAGGTAAGCAAATTTTTCTACTATTCATTGCATTTTGCAAACAAATAATCATTGTGTTTATTATAAATCCAATAAGTAGGTTACAAGACTGGAGATGTTTATGGTGTAAAGTCACTGTACATACAGCATGTAGACCATCGATAAGCGTAGGATGTTCTTTAGGCCCAGCTAAATTAAGTGTTGTACCTCCAACAGCTTTACACAGTATAGGTACTTTATCATGAAGTTGATTGGAAACAATTATGACAATTCTTCATTTATTTTTTAATTGCAGGTAGTGACGAAGCGTGGGAAGCTGTAAGACCTGTAGGATGTAGTCCACTTTTAGTATTTGTTAATAGTAAATCAGGTGACAATCAAGGAATTAAGTTTCTTAGACGATTTAAGCAATTGTTGAATCCAGCTCAAGTATTCGATCTCATAAAAGGAGGACCTGGTCCAGGGTAAGAACTAATTTCATCAACAATTGTATCATATTTTACCCATTACTTAAACAAGTTTTCTCTCACAGTCTCAGACTTTTTCGTCACTTCGATCCTTTCCGCATATTAGTTTGCAGTGGAGATGGATCAGTCGGTTGGGTGCTGTCGGAGATCGATCGATTGGGGATGCACGTAAGTCATTAAGCCATATGATTTCGAGCTTTGTTTTTGTGATAGCAAAACTATAGTACGAGTTGCACCACGATTCGATACGAATAATAGCTCTTACACTCATCTAACGAACGAAATCAGTAAAATGAAGCAATGTTTGTTGCATGCTCTTGTGTCATGTCTTCTCTATTTTGCAGCAGGTAGAAAACAATTTTATCATACATATTTTTATTCGTTTACATCACTTTTTTCTCGGTGTTTATTGAAAATATCCCAATCAATTGAGTCGCGATAAGACTTTTTATTGTTCATTACTATTATCGTTGTTCTATTGTCTCACGCACGCTTCAAACCTCGTTTTAAAATTAATCAGATACTTTATCTTGCTTGAAGTCCAATCTGTTCGCACAGCCGAAAAGTTTTATTAGACATCTGTTTTCTCTCCGCTGAAAACTTGATTAAAATGGGCACGATCGATAATGGCCGAAGTTGTACGAAACCGATTGTAAATTTGCTTTTGGATTGTTCTCCTACGGCTCTTTATTTTCCTCCCAATCTGCCAGGTCATTAAAAAGTTAAATTGCTTCACCTATACATGTATGTTCATTACAACTAAACATGCTTTTATCCATGTTTTTTTTTTCACCTTCCTGCATGTCAGATCAATGTGTGTCAAACCTCACCCGCAGAAGCAAAAAGATATATATAAAAACGCAGCACACTCGGAGCAGCAAAAAAATTCGTGTGCGCACGTGAAAAATTAACGATCGCTTTTCGATGCTGCAATTAGAAGCAGTGCCAGGTGGGCGTGCTACCGCTTGGCACGGGCAACGACTTGGCGCGCGTCCTCGGCTGGGGCTCCTCGTGCGACGACGACACGAATCTGCCCCACCTGCTGGAGAAGTACGAGAAGGCCGGCACGAAGATGTTGGACCGCTGGAGCATCATGACGTTCGAGCGCAGCATCAGTCTGCCCTGCCACAAGATCTTGGCCGAGCAGGCGGACTCGGTGATCAGCCAGACGATGGCCCAGGAGTACGAGATCAGCGTGATGACGCACATCACCAACATACTCACCTCGGAGCAGGAGAGCGTGGTCGTGGGCAGCGCCAAGTGAGTACACGTTATAATACCTGAATCGATTTCTCTCTTTGATGCGCTTTGTGCAAAGTTTCCGGACCGGGATCCAATCGATACTTGCCGCCGAGTTGTTGTTGTTACAAGCTCGTAACTTTCAAAGCTCCGAGACTTATTATTGGCTTCGCGATGTTTCGCAATCGGATTTGTTTGCCTCGAAAATAGGGCCAAATTACCCAACTGTGTCTTTTCTCTCTCTCTCGCGCGCAGAGTGCTGTACGACACCATCAAGGACTTCGCCGTGAAGGTGACCGAGGTGAGCTCGAGCCAGGCCGATCATCATCGGCTCGGCGACAAGTGCGACGCGGCCCAGCAGAAGCTCGACTCGCTGCTGCAGATACTGCAGAGCCTGCAGAAGGAGGAGAGCTTCGGCTCGGAGCTCGATCAGGCGCCCACGACGGACGACACGACGACGACGATCGAGACGACGACCAACGCCGACACCATCAGGTCGGACATGCCCTCGCTCGACGACGAGGACAACAACAAGGAGAAGGGACAGCTCGAGAAGCCCGAGAAAAACTTGACCAATCTCAATCTCAAGATGCTGAAGAAGAAGCGATTCCAGGAGAATCAGACAGTCATATCGAGGTGAGTTTTATTAGTTTTCATTCGTCTTTTTCTTTTCGCATTTTCGGTTTTGTTCTTGATTCGTACGGGAAGTTGCTATACCCAAAAAGTTGTTGACGACACTCCCGTCGAATTCAAGTCGCAGTTAGAAAAGTTACTCGAGCCGTATACTCGATCTCCAAAGAAAAATCATTGAAATTTCAAAACGCCATGTAAATCGAAAAGAATAGGCATGAAAAACTACGTAGAAAGTTTTTGTTTACTATAGGACAAACATCATTTGTTCTCGAGTATGAGAATCATAAAAGGTTTTCTCACCTGCATTGTATTATATTCGAACGCCGGTAGTAAATTTTTCAACGCTGTCAAAAAATTATAAATAATGAAAAAAAATCCATCCAACGAATCTTGCGATCGGCACTCAAGCACACGACCGTATTATGTCACAAAAAATTGTCATCTCTCCATCATAATAATTAACGCCCGCCGCATGGTAAGCATTATCAAACTGTTATGCCGCAGAGCCAACAGCCTGAAACGCGCCATACGTCAACTGGTCGAGCACACGGAGCTCGCGCTGGACGAGCAGAGCCACCATCATCCGGAGAATCCGCGGCTGCTCGTCACGACTGAGGAGGACACGGAGCACCTGAAAAAACGTTACCTGGACATACCGGAGGTGCGTTCGGATTACAACCTGGCGGACAGTCTGAGCGTGACGCCGACGCCGAGCAGCGGCGAGGCCTCGGCCTGCTCGTCACCCACGCCCAATCTCGTCTCGCTCAGTCCGATGCCCGACATCAGGCGCGACTCGCAAGGCGTCGAGGACTTTCTGTCGCTGCCCGCGCCCGCCGAGTACGCCGACAGCCGCAGGGCCAGCTCCACCATGGTCCAAGAGAAGTAAGCAACCTCGTACGATTTTTGAATTATAGAACAAAACTGAATTCGTGATTGCGTTTCGCGCAGCAGCAACAGCAACAACAGCAGCATGTTCAGCTTCGACTCGAGCGGCGTTCAGTCGGCCGTCGAGAAGCTCGCCCAGCAGCAACAGCAGCAGCAGCAGCAACAAACGCCGGCGAGCGCGACCAGTCCGACGAGCCTGGACAACACGAGCTCGCCCTCGGACGACACGACCATACAGGACGCGATGATGTCGCCCGACAGCGACTCGCCGATGCTGAACGACTCGAGCCCGCCCGAGTCCAAGTCGGCGAGCGACGACGACAACAATAAACATCAGCATCAGCAGCAGAATCAGCTGCGGCAGCAACAGCAGCAGCAGCAGCGACAGCATCGCATCGTCACGCCCAAGAGCAGCTGCACCAACAGCGAGAGCGAAATCGGTTGGTCACTACTCACCCTCTCCGTCGACCACGCGTCGTCCCCCCGAAAGCCTTCGGGCCCAAATCAAATGAATGATCCTGTCTTACGCTCGACAGGTCGGCCCGGCACCACAGACAGCGACATCTTGGACTCGACCGCCAAGCCGTCCGAGAGCTCGGAGCACATCTGCCACATCGACTCGCCCGAGAACTCGGACCTGGCCAACTCCGAGAGCATCGTGGACGATCTGAGCTCGCTCAATCAGGATCTTGTCAGCACGATGAACAGCGAGAGGTACGACTCGGTGAGGGAGTGCCTCGGTAACGAGCAGATGGACTTCAACAATCGGGGCCAGCACCATCAGCAGCAGCCCGCGAGGCGCGTCACTCTGGCGCGATTCGTCGACGGCAGCGACATTGGCAAGGGCTCGATCAAGAGGCCCAACGACAGGGTCGACAAAGAGGTAAGAGATTTATATATTGCATATTGGAGATGGATACCATTTCTCCCGCGTTGTGTCGTTGCAGCAGGTCATTTTCAAGTGCGTGTCGAGCAAAGCCGCCGCCGACAGGCGGCCGTCTTACGTCGCGCCCGGCGACGACGACAACAACGACTTCGACTACCACAAGCTCGCCGACCAGGAAGAAGAGGACGAAAGAGGTGATTTACTCAATGCACCAGTCTGCAGGTTCACTGTTAATTCAAGCCCAGACCCGTCTAACGATATTTCGCCTAATTTTCCACCAGCTATCAGTGTCGTTGTCGATCCGCCTAGCCCATCCGCGTCGGTCAAGAGCAAGTTCGAGCCGGATCTTGGCATACTCAATCATCTGTTTCCGCACCGAGGCCCCGACTCCGGTAGCATGGAGAGACGTTAGTTTTTGCACAATTTTTTTCTCTTACTGCTATTTATATGAATGAACCGAATTCCGATCGGTGCTTTTTGCAACAACGTAGACTGATCGAAATTTTTCCTTGCAGTGAGCGTCGAGCTGCCCGAGGGTACGGGCTGCTCGCCTCAGGCCACACGACGCATCAGCTGCGGCAGCCTGATGAAGGCACCGCCGGAGCTCGCGTCGTTGGCCGCCTCGGCGTCCGGCAGATTCGGCTCGAGCTTGAGCATACGTCACGAGAGGGCCAAATCCATCGATAAGACGGACGAGGTCAAGAAGCTTCCGATCATCAATCCCCTCGTCAGATTGCCCATGTGGCCGAGTAAGTGATTCGTTTTTTATTCAAGGCAACGATGACAGAGCTATTGCTCGAATCGTTTTTTTTTTACATTCGTCAAACTTTCTCAGATGTGACGAATGGATTCATAAGCCAGGCTCTGTTGGCCAATGCCGATGCACTGTGCGCCGCTGTCTCGCCTCTCATGGATCCGGATGAAACTTTGATGTAAGATCGAAAAATCAATGCTCATACGATGTAACGAGCCAATGCATCATTGTGTTTTTTTACATTTTTGTGATCAGGGAGGGCTATTTCGAGCGATGCGTCATGAACAATTACTTTGGCATCGGCATAGATGCCAAAATCAGCCTGGACTTTCATCACAAGCGAGAAGAGCATCCGGAAAAATGCCGATCGCGAGCCAAAAATTACATGTGGTACGGCGTGCTGGGCTCGAAGCAGTGGCTGCAGAAGACCTACAAAAATCTCGATCAAAGGGTGCAGCTGGAGTGCGACGGACAACGAATACCCTTGCCGTCGCTTCAAGGCATCGTAGTGCTCAACATACCTAGGTAGGCTGCTCGCATGGACTCGTTCGTTTGAACTCTTGCTCACCGTTTCCTATTTGTTTTTTTAAACAGCTTCATGGGTGGAACGAATTTCTGGGGCGGCTCGAAAGAGGGCGACATATTTCTGGCGCCGTCGTTCGACGATCGAATCCTCGAAGTCGTGGCTGTGTTCGGCTCCGTGCAGATGGCTGCCTCGAGACTGATCAATCTGCAGCATCATCGCATCGCCCAGTGCCAATCCATACAGATCAACATTCTCGGCGACGAGGGGGTGCCCATTCAGGTGGACGGCGAAGCCTGGATTCAGCCGCCAGGCATCATCAGGATCATTCATAAGAACCGCATGCAAATGCTCTACAGAAACAGAGTGAGTTCATTGAATCAGATCACCATCTTTATCAAATGGCTCGACGTCGATAATTCGTTCTATCGTTACCTGCTTATGTGTGTGTGTGTGTGTGTATGTGCGCAGGCCTTGGAAACGTCATTGCGAGCGTGGGAGGAGAAGCAACGCTCGGTGGCCGCTGTCACACAATCGACTTCGAATCTGTCGACGTCGTCGCGCTCGAACAGCTCGGTGCAATTCGACGGTCGTCAAATGTCCCTTTCGGACGAGGAGATGCAAGTGCTGCTTGGTTTCATCGAAGTAGTCACCACATTGGTCAAGTGGGTCAAGCTCCTCATTATATCTCATCCCAGCATCGAAGCTGATCTGTATCAAGTAGCGGCACGAACAGCCGTGGCCTTGGAAAAAGTTCATCCGGATGGAAAGATATTGCAAGGGGTGGGTTTTACTTTTTATAAATTCAAATTTCATTGAAAAAAAACTCTATGACTATCTAGGAAATTTTATACTTTAATTAAAGGCAACCTTGAGGCCCGTCGTCACGGAAGTAGTATCGAGCGCTCGGCAACTATACGAAGAGGCGTGTGAACTTCTTCGAGACAAAGGGCACAATTTGGTAATTTTTACTTTGAATATTTTACCGGTTGACCGAGAAAGGTGTCTATATGTATTTTCTTTCAAATTTTCTTCACAGAGACTGAGAGAAGACTTGGAAAGTAAATTATCCATGTCGCTCGCGACGATGGAACAAGAGCTGCGTAAATGTGTGTTTGATGAGCGAAGTTCAGGGTTCGTCTATTTGCAAAATGTTCCAGAAGAACAGGTATTGTATTATTACTAAAAAAGATTAATTTTTAATGTTTTTGGTTGCAATTTAACGAATTTTTTTTATTAAAGTCTGATAAAAAGAATCGACATCGGGGTTTATTCTGGCTGAAGTTCCGGCGAACAAGTGGTCGCGCCGCAGCAGACCCTTGCCGAGACCAGGTCACTCACTGGGGAACTCAAGAAGTCTGCTCTTGGCTGGAAAATTTACAACTCGGCGAGTACGCCGAAAACTTCATATCGCACGATATAAGGGGTAAAGAACTTTTGACGCTAGCTAGAAGAGACTTGAAAGAATTGGGTATCACGAAGGTCGGCCACGTCAAGAGGATACTGCAGAGCATCAGCGATTTGAACAATTGAGCCCAAAGAGCACGGATGACGGATCATTTTGCTGAGATATTTCAAACTTAAATTAACGACGACGATGCGCAAGCTGCCTCGCGAATCATCGACTATTGCGTTACGCGCGTCTCTGCATATACAAGGCTGTGAAAATGATTAAAGAGAAAAAGTGGACGTGCTCTTTTTAGAAGTGAAAGAGCCCCCGACAATGAGCGTTTCAGAATATGGCCAATGATTCGTCATTCCCGTAAGAAAACTAGTTTGTAATTTAAGAGTATGTAAGCAATAAGGATATGCACACGATACGTTAATAATTGTGAAAAATAATCGAAACCCCCTTTCGACTTTTTATTAACGAACGATCTCTAAGATTCTTGCGTCAAGGGCACGCTTTTATTTTCTATTGCTGAATTTCACGTTAGAAACTGGTATTGCGCACTCCGTGCGAGAGATCAACCGTCTTCCATGTGGTAAGTCAGAATAAACGATGAATTTTCATACGAATACTTGAAAACTTGATTCTCGATACTCGTTACCTTAACACTCGTTACTAATGTCATTTGTAAAGCACAGAAAGTATGAAAGTTGATATGAAAAAAAAAACATGGATAATCAACGAATGAAAAAAGTATCATGACTCTTGACAATGAATAATTATAATAGATAGATAGAGGGTTGTCGAGATGAAAAATTGAAGCTCGAAAGCCAGCTTTTAATGAAGTTATTAAATTATAAAACCTAGCTCGTAAGTTTCTAATTACAGTTGTCGTCTCGTCTCCTTTTCAAATTGATTAATGATCTTGTCTACGCTGCTGCAGCGTCGTAAACGACAAAAAAAGGCGCGGGTACGATTGAATCCTCGAGATTAGCTGGTTGTATAGAATTTTAGAGAATTTAGTCTTTTTTACAAACCTTCCTAGTATTATGCATATGATATGTGCATACGTGTTGAATGCTCTATTTTTAATCTTCTCCGGTAACTCCGTATTCTCGCGTATAGGAAATGTAAATTATAAATTTAAATATTTCGCGAAATAATGAATCGTTAAGCGACTGACCTCTCTCAATATGTGAACGGGACTCGTAAAGCATAGAACAGAGAATTAGTGAGTCGAAAAATCGATGCGAGACGAATAAAAATTCGACGAGCAATCGAACGATGGTGCAATAATTATCAGTATTTTTTCCAAATGTATGGAGCCTCGAGGTATCGATATCCGTATTAATAGTCATACAAAGTTACTCTATTATTTAGCGCATACTCAGCTATTAAGTATGTCAATAGTTTGATGTTTGATCTGTTGATATATACAAGTATATTAATGTTGAAATGTATTGTTTGTCTGTAGAACGTTAAACGTAGCAACTGTTGTACTTACTTTGCACAAATCTCGCGCATTTTCAATTCTACGTTTATTGCCTGTAAACATGTTGAAATTTTCGATCAAGGAGATGTTTCAATTATGCGACGTCAATACTGGTGCGCTAATGGACTCTTTTATAGACTAACAAATTATTTTTCGACACTCTTTTATAACGAATGAACTTATCGATTAGTAAGTTTGTAAATGTACAAATGATGAGAAAATTGTGCAAATTTTTGTGGAAAATTTGAATCTTTGATTTATCAAATATTTTTGTACGCTACTAATAATTATTGCAGAATATTGTTGGCTATTTATCAAACTATCGTCGTTTATTCTTTAAATTAACTGGATACTCAAAACTTTTTCACACTCTTTATTATATCTCACGAGTATAACGATCTCAAATACTTAAGGGCATAAGTCAAAATGTATCTTTTTCCGTGAATCCAATTATGTCGCGAGCACAGTGGTGGTATCACATTCAGAGATTAAAGGAAACGGGTTGTTTCACTTAAAAGCGCTTTTATTGCTTAAATGCACGAATTGTTTTATCGCGTGCACAAAAGACAAAAAAGTGCCTAGAGAAGGTGACGACGACCAAGGAGCGAAAAAAAAATAAACAATAAGCGATACTTGCTGCGAAAAACTATTATACGCTAAACTCGTAATAAGCTCGACTGCGCTCGACGTGCCTGACGTACAAAGAAAAACTAAAAAAGAGAAAAAAACTTATCTCGCTCGCCGTGCGTGCGATGCGAAATGAAAATAAATTGCACCCACTGTACAAAATATTCGAACTTGTTGTTTACGCACACACGTCGATGAATTACCAAAATCACGCAACACTTTATAAACCCAATCAATCGTAATAATATGATCGTTCGTCAAATCGCCTTCTTCGTCGGTATCCATTTTTTCAATCCTGTTACTATCTATTTAAGAGCCTCTTGTTGTTCAAGTACAAACTTATCCAATATTATTAACAAGTTGAGTTGACTTGGCACGAGCACAAGATTAAACGATTTGAGAAAAGAAAATTTCTTAGACGCTCAGTTGAAAACAAGTTTACTTGCATTCTATTAATAGAGAAATAATAGTGCAATGCACATGCAATTATTAGTCCCTACCGACCTTAGCTACTTTTATATAGGGTGCACATTGATTGTCTCTCAATAAAAAAAAAGAACAACCAATTTTATCTACAGCTTGATATACCCATTTGTGATACTATTAAAAACGTTTCGCACGTCTATTTCCTCAAGTGATTCGTTTACGAACAATATACGCAATGAACCTCCTGTTAATGTCATTGTTACGACTCGTAAGTAAAACTTGTAATTTTCTTATACCCCAAGGAACCAATGAATAATATTTTAAGAATACCTCTTGCTTCTATTTTGATGGAAAAATAATTCGTCGTTCATCCCTTCGCAAGCGATCGGTTGAAAATACTTAAAATATCCATTTTTGATAAGAACGAGACGAGAATTAATTGAATTCATGAATTTACGGTTTTCAGCGGATCATTTTTTCGCAGAAGACTGTCTAGAAAAAATGAGAGGTGTGCTCAGTTTATATAAATAAAAAAAAAGAAAAAGAAACGAGGTCTTCGGACGGATAACTTTTGCCTTTCTCTATATTATTGTGTACAACATTTCTATTTAGCACGATAATGATAATAAATTATCGCACAGACTTTCTTTCGTGAGATTATGAGAAATTTGTGTACTTAATTACATGTGATATAATTTAAAATTTCCCAAAGAGATTGAAAATGTTTGTAATTAACATTACTATTGGACGAAAAATATCAAACTGAATGAACCAATCCATAAAATGTAAAAAGTTTTACTCATTTTTTATTGCATTATATATTATTGAAAAACTGTATTTTATTGTAATACAAATCAACTTTCGTATCCCCTTTGTTCATAAACTTGATGTAAGAGTAGTCCTTCGACTATGCGAACTTGGTTACAAAAAAACAATAAAAGCGTATAGTTTTTTTATGTTAAATATATCAAAGTCTTGAAAGCATTTGAATGCATTTAATAATTGCCGATGACACACTTATGAAAATTTATATAAAACATACTGTGATAAATGAACATTAAAATGTATTATAACATTTTGTTTCGAAAATAAAATTTTTTTCAAGTTGAAAAAGTTCCAAAATCTATTTGAAATCGTTTGTCGATTGGTTTAAAAAGTAAAATTTTCTTACCTATAATAAATCAATAGATGATATCGAAAGAGTATAAAGCAACGAAATCTAACTAAGAATCTACATAGAACTTTGTTGAAAATTTAGAATTCGGTTCGACAGTAAATAGTACTTATTTCTTCTTCCGGTGTTAAAGATATTGTAAACTAAAATTAATACAGCAGTCCCTCGTTATACGCAGTTTATCCCTGATCCCGCAAATCGACAAACACTACGAGGTTTTCTTATGCACGGACAAGTCCACCCTTAAGCGCGATTCTTCAACGCGATCTCTCCAAAAATTACAAAAATTCCATGAATTTTCAAAGCTCCTGTTAAAAGTAGAAAAGTTATGACTTTAGATAAAAAGTGAACATTTTAAATTCGCTTTTTCAGAACTAAATTTTGGCGTGTAACAAAGGATTGCTGTATTTGCGGTATTAGTGTATAGTGATACTGAATTGTTATCATAAATTTCTCGTCATTGTACTGTCTGTTTTTTAGCATATAATCTAAAGGAAGAAATCCATAAGTCATAATTGTTTGACATTTTTAAATTTTCAACTTATCAGTATGTGAATATTTCACGATGATGTTATACCTTACAAATAAAATTTCAATTTTTCAACATATCTATGCTTTGTAATTTTATTTAAAAATCATCCTATATATATTGACACGCCTTGGTGTGGGCTTGCAGCGGATAGGGGTGGCAAGTTTTCGAATGATTATTAAATTTTTTTTTATTATTTATGATATAACGTATACCGATCTTTTGACTCGAATTTTACTAGTATTAAAAAGTCAGCATTTAAAACTGATTCAAATTTTAGAAAGCAAAGTATAAACAGATAAATCCGTAAATTCTTTGTAAACAATATGATCATTAACTATTTTAACATTGTCAGCTCTCGGATACTGATCGTATTTATAATAAAAACAAATTAGTTCTAAGTTGTCTTTCTCGATAGAACAAATCATAAATATACCAAAATAAAAATTTTACTCATTCAATTTTTGTGACACCAAATAGAAGGATTGATCCTTAAATTTAAACACCAAAATGGGTAAAAGTGATAAAAAATCCAAAAAAGTTGACGCAAATGATAATTTAAGTGAAACTAACATTGTAGTTTCAGACGACAAAAAATACGTTTGTGATATATGTAAGGAGACATTTACACTAGAATTAAGCATGATAACACACCGAGACACAAATCACCACGATCAAAAAGATTACTCATGTGACAAGTGTGAGAAGAAATTTAAGTTCCGAAGTCATTTGAGCAGACACCAAATATTAGAACATAAAAGTCGTAAAGATTTTCCATGCGACCAATGCGAGAAAAAATTTGTGAAACCATCGAGTTTATTTACGCACCAAAAATTAGTACACAAAGATCGCGAAAATTTCACGTGCAACGAATGCGAGAAAAAATTTGAAAATAAGTCAACTTTCCTCAAGCACAAAAAAATATTCCACGAAGTTTTTAAAGATTACTTGTGTGAAAGGTGTGCCAAAAGATTCGGAAATAAACATAGTTTGCTCGCACACATTAGGAGAGTTCATGAGGGTCGCAAAGATTTCGCATGTGACAATCGCGGAGAAAAATTTATTAAAAAATCGCATTTGCCTCACCTGGAGACAGTGAACAAAGATCAGAAAGATTTGGCCATCAGAGTCCGCAAAGATTATTTATGTGACATTTGTGGACTGACTTTTGGAAATAAATCGAGTTGGCTCTTGCACAAAAAGACAGTACACGGACATCACAAAGATTACACATGCGACGAGTGCGAAAAAAATTTTCGATTCCAATCAACTTTGCTCTTACACCAAAAGACGGTCCATGAGGGTCGGAGAGATTTTGAATGCAACAAGTGCGGGAAGAAATATGGACAAAAATCAAATTTGCGTGCGCACTTAAAGATGGTGCACGAAAATCGCAAAGACTATGCATGCGACAATTGCGAGAAGAAATTTAGAGAAAAATCGAAATGGATTAGGCACCAAAAAATAGTCCATGAAGGTCATAAAGATTATACTTGTGACAAGTGCGAGAAAAAATTTGGAGAAAAATCGAAGTGGATTAGACACCAAAAGATAATTCATGAAGGTGGTAAAGATTTTGCATGCGACAATTGTGAGAGGAAATTTGGAAGTAGAGGAGCTTTGTACAAGCACCAAAGGGCAATTCATGAAGATCGCAAAGATTATTCATGTGATAAGTGTGAGAAGGTATTTACACAAAAACCGAGTTTGCTCTACCATGAAAAGGTAGTTCATGAAGGTCGGAAAGATTACTTATGCGACAAGTGCGAGAAGAAGTTCGGAAAAAAGTCAGACGTGATCAGACACCAAAATGCAGTTCACGATGATCGCAAAATTTTTGCATGTGACAAGTGCGAGAGGAGATATGGAGTTCAAAGCAATTTGAGAAGACATGAAAAAATAGCTCATCAAGATTTCACATGTGACAGTTGTGGGCAAAAATTTGGATACAAATCGAGTTTAATTTTGCACCTCAAGACAATACACGAAGGTCACAAAGATTTTACATGCGACAAGTGTACGAAAAAATTTAGAGATAAATCAGGTTTGTTTTCCCACCAGAAAACAGTTCATGAAGGTCGCAAGGATTACGCATGCGACGAATGCGAAACGAAATTTGGGAAAAAATCACATTTGCTTGTCCATGAAAGAACAGTTCATGAAGGTAACAAAGATTACGAATGCAATAACTGCGAAAAGAAATTTGGACAAAAGTCATGTTTATTCAAGCATATAAAAACTGTACACGAAGGTCGTAAAGATTTTGCATGTAACAAGTGCGATAAGAAATTTGGACTAAAATCCAATTTGTCAAGGCACCAAGTAACAGTACATGAAGGTCGTCAAGATTTTGCATGCGACAAGTGCGACAAGAAATTTGGGGATAAAAACTATTTGAAAAGACATCAAAAGACAGTCCACGAAGGCCAGAAAGATTTCCCTTGTGTCAAGTGTGAGATGGAATTCGGTCACAAATCGCATTTGTTTAGGCACCAAATCATGGTACACAATGATCATTAAGATCTTGTGTACCTCCAACGAATTTGAGTTGACACCGAAAAAC